ATATAGAGTGTATAATAAGAAGACTAAACAAATTGTAGAATCCTTTGATGTTCGTTGGCTTGAAGAAAATGAGACAGATGCAAGAGTGGGTCCTAATTGGTTATTTGACTACAAATCTCTTTTCAAATCATTCAATGTGTCCTCGGATAATCAAAAAGGATCTACTTCCAATTCGAAGATTCGTAGTGATGACGATGAAGATGAAGTTGTCTATCGACCACCATTGATTTCTTCTGATCCTCCATTGATACCCACTGCTCACTTTGAATCTTCTGAGTCTCCTGATGCTACTGTTACTCCTTTAACTCCGATGGAAAAAGAGTTCATTAACCACGAGACTTCCGCTGTAACATCAAATCTGATGGAACTTCTCTTTCCGGAAAATATTACAGAAGAATTTGTAGCAGATTCTTCAAACGAACCTGGTTCATCTTCTACCAATCATACAACAAATGATGGAGCGGTTAATATTCATAATCTTTCTGTTTCTGTCAATGATATTAGTTATCAGATCCTTACACGTGTTCAGCGAGATCATCCAATAGAGAACGCCATTGGCCAGTTAGGCGACGGTGTTCAAACAAGAAGCAAAAGTGGGGATGTAAATACATGTCTCTACTCTTGTTTCATCTCTCACATTGAGCCTAAATCTGTCGATATGGCTCTGAATGAGCCCAGCTGGGTTGAAGCCATGCATGATGAATTAAATCAATGTGAGAAACTCGGAGTCTGGAAATTGGTAGAGCTACCAAAAGGAAAGAAATCTCTTGACACTCGTTGGGTATTTCGAAATAAACAAGACGATTCAGGTGTCATTGTGCGCAACAAGGCAAGATTGGTGGTTCGAGGGTTTCGGCAAATTGAGGGTCTTGATTATACAGAATTTTATGCTCCAGTTGCTCGTTTGGAAGCCATTCGTATCTTCCTTGCTTATGCATCTTACATGAACTTTACTGTATACCAAATGGACATTAAGACGGCTTTCTTGTATGGCAAAGTCAAGGAGGAGATTTATGTTGATCAACCACCTAGTTTTATTAACTCATCTCTTCCAAACCATGTTTACAAGTTAGACAAAGCTTTGTATGGATTACATCAAGCTCCTCGAGCTTGGTATGCTACTCTTACTCAACATTTGCTCAATCACGGCTATTCCCGAGGCACCATTGATCAAACCTTATTTCTCAAGGATGTCAGTCCAGATCAAATTCTTGTTCAAATTTATGTGGATGACATCATTTTCGGGTCGACTAGCCAAAAACTTTGCAAGGAGTTTGAAGCGGTGATGAAGAAGCGTTTTGAGATGAGTTCACTTAGGGAATTGACCACGTTTTTGGGGCTTCGGGTCAAACAATCTTCAACCGGAATCCTTATTCATCAATCAAAATATGTGGAAGATGTACTGGAGAAGTTCGGGTTTCAGGATGCAAAAGTTGCTCTTACACCCATGGCGGACCGACCTCTTCTGACTCCTGATCATGAGGGTGAATTCGTAGATCAAACTCATTATCGATCAATGATCGGATCACTCATGTATCTTACTGCTGGTCGCCCAGATGTCATGTTCGCGGTCTGTCAATGTGCTCGCTAGCAGGCTAATCCTAAAGTCTCTCATTTAATTGCTGTTAAAAGGATTTCTCGGTATCTCAAAGGGTGCCCAAAATTGGTTCTTTGGTATCCGAAAAATCCTGAATTTGATCTTTATGCTTCTGCAGACAGCAATTATGGTGGTTGTGAGCTTGATAGAAAATCTACTTCAGGAGGATGCCAATTTTTGGGAGATAGATTGGTGTCATAGCAGTGCAAGAAGCAGCACACAGTCTCAACCTCAACAGCAGAAGCGGAATATGTTTTTGTATTTGCTTGTTGTTCTCAAGTCATCTGGATCCAACATCAATTGTTGGACTACGGTTTGAATTTTCAAGAAACCCCTATTTTTTGTGACAATGAGTCTGCAATTCAAATTGCCAAAAACCCGGTCCATCACTCAAAAACCAAGCACATCGACATTAAAATTCATTTATTCGAGAATGTTACGAACGTTCGCTCATTCGGCTAAACAGGTCCGCTCTGATAATAATGTAGCAGATCTGTTCACCAAGCCTTTTAACAAAGCTCGATTCGATGTGCTGGTTAATTTTCTAAAAATGATTCGTTTTGAGGATTAATTTTTTTTTAATTTTTACATAAATTTGCGCATTTTATTTCATTTTATGCACAAATTTAGGGGGAGAAAATCCAAAAACATTAAAAAATAGAAAATCCAAAAACACTAAAAAATTAGAAAATATGTTTGAGGGAGCTGTTCATGGATGTGATATGATCATGTGATAATAGGCAATCTGAGTCTGTGTAACGTACCCAAAGTTGAAGGGTCTATGCTCTGGTTTGATGTGTCGGTAGGCACAAAGAATTTAACGGACTTGACTAGGTGCAGATGAACTCAAGGAATCTATAGACTTGACAAATCTTGACCTAGTTAGTTCTGTTTAGCCTAACAATACGATGTTCGGATAGGTTGAGCAGGGAGATATATATGGGAATCTACTCGTCACATTAAATGAACCCATATCTGGAATCGTGGTTTAACTTTTCCTCCATGTGCGGTTTCTATCCTTAATTCCGGTATTGATGGGGCAACTGGTAAATTCTGATAAATTAGGTCTGTAGAAAATCATTTTCTTTCTTTCTGTCTGTTAGTCATATGTTACCTCCTCTGCGTGATTGGAAGAGATCCGACCTGGACTGTAACATATGCAACTCTATTTCTCTGCATATTATACATATACATATATGAAATTCCTCTTATCTGTTAGCCATATGCTGTCTCCTTTGCGTGACTAACAATCCGACCTGGTACACAGCATATGCACTATAAGTGATAATACTCTAAATCTATCTTCTCCCCTAATGATGGTCTGCTCATCTGATGTAAGGAGTACTCTGGAAGTCCTTGATTACCGGGGCATATCTGGAAGCGGGAAACATGTTCCAGTACAATTAAAATTGAACACTCAAAGATTGTCTATAGATCTTGCTGCTCAATTTAGGTGGACAACAATTTAGGTGGAAAATTTTTATTTGAAGGAAATTTTCCTTTAATAAAATATGGAATTTTTACAAAGGATGATAGAGAAGAAGCAGCAGATAAATCCATGCCGACAGAAGATGTATACACTCATAATTCTCCCTCTGAGCCTGTAGTGGAGGAGATTCATCAATCTCCCACAGCTTGTGTTGCTGATGAGCATGATCATCAGAAAGAAAATGATTCAATATCTTCTCGAGGGGATGACGATGATGATCTCTATGAAGATGTAGAGTTTTTGAATGAAATCGACTTTACAGGAATCAATGATGATATTCCAACAAACATCGAGTCTGATTTTGGTGATGAAGATTTTGATCCCTTTCTGGATACTCCCAGCAGCCATGCAAATAAAGTCAATGAAGTTGCTTCTCTAGCAACCAAGACTAGAAGTGAAGGAAACTCTCTCAAAATTCTGCTCACCTCCTCCAAGCCGTTGGAAATCACTACAAGTCAAGGAGATGTGACATCAAAGATTCCTCCCTCTGTGTCACCTGTCTCAACATCAACTCCAGTCATTTCTATGATATCTGAACCTCAGACTTTCCAGACCTCCGTTAGAACAAGCCAATCTCTTGAGAGTCTGGAGGTACCCTCTGTGAAAAGTGCTCCTCAAATTATCTCAACAATCACTACAACCACTGGTCACTCTCCATCAAAACAAACTGATCAAGGTCCAAGCACCATGTTCGAGACTGGTGGATCTTCTTCTATTCCAGAATATTCCCCAACACGACCTTCTCTTGATGAAGCATCTATCAAATTAGTAAAACATTTAGCTCAATCTAGTCCAACCTCGTCAAGCGGAAAAGGAATATCATTTAATGAGGGACGGACAGATGATGACAGATCCTCTTCATCTGATCTACGAGAAGAAGTTGGAATCCTCTGTCAACAGCTCATTGAAAAATATATTCAGATGGATCGGCTTTCTGCACATATTTTTGAGCTTAGGGAAAAAGATGAAGAAAAGACCAAACAAATCAAGGATCTACAAACGAGTCTCCGATCTGTTCTAGCAAACTATTTCAATCTCAAAAACGTATTGTACGATGTATTTGGTGAGAAAGTCAAAGCCCTTTTCCAACAACCTCATGGAGTAGTTGATCCTCCTTCTGTTCAATCACCTCTTGCAACTGATGATCTACCTGTTGACCCACCTGTTCCAAGAACAACTACCATTGTAGACAGATTTGAAAAGGAACCTGAAGGCAGCAGAGCGAGAATTACAATCAAGCAGGGCAAAAGAATCACAAAACATAGCGAAGGCCTTCTTTTCATGAAAAACTCTAATGAAAATCGCAAAACGAAAGACCCTGTCTTGACAGTAACAGATTTGAAGAAAAGGAAGTTTGGTGATGAATACGGTGACAGAACAGGCATCCGAATGTGGGACTTTGATCCAGTGACGAATTTGTGGGTGGTAAAGCGAAAATCAGGAGCTTCTGAATGTTACAAAAGCAATCATGATTTCAACTCCTGGACCAAAACTGATCTTGCTGAATTGTCCAGGGCCCCATTCCATAACCCTTCTGAAGATCAAAATGCATCAAATTTCAAAAGATTCCTTGACAGACAGGTCAAAGAGAACTTTCCTTCAATGAAAACTGCCAAAACTCTATACAAAAAGGATAAAGATGTTCTTGATCCAGAAACAGGCGAACCCATGAAGATCATACTTTGGCCTGCAACTAAGAAACAGAAGGAAATTCCTATTCCTCAACACTTTCATGAGGGATATCTAGATGACATGGAATTTTGGGCATATGATGATGAAACAGCCACTGCAGCCATCAAATTCAAGAATCGAGAACATACTCTACGATTGATTAGTGCTAAAGCTCTTCTACACTTCACATAAAGGGATATACGTACTTTGGCCCGTCATCAAATCATTTGCAGAAAGGATGTCATGGAGGCAGCTGCTGAAGAATTCACTGCAATGGTAGCTACAATTATAAATGGAAGATTGTGGATGGGTTCAATGGGGAGATCAGATCTGAGGTTGTTTGAGAAGCCCGCTGAGGAGCCAAAGGAGTAAAAACAAGACCATGCTAGTCTCAAACCAAGGGGGAGACTGAAAGAACATATTTGTATGGTTTGAGCTAGGCATCATTATGTATAGATGATAATGTTTTTATATATGTGTCTGTGAGTTGTAGTGTGATGTGTGCTACCGCATATGTATGTGCGGCCGCACACGGTGTGTGTGGCAGCATACATCTATTTGGCAGCATTCACATGGTCTTGGTGTGAGGGGTACTATATATAGCTTCTGAGATATGTCAGATAATACGATTTTTGCTGGTATAAGAACTTGGTTGCAGTTGTATTTCTCTCAAGATGTACCTGACATTTATTGAATATAAATGTGTGCATGCTTGTTTTTAATTCTTCTTCTTCCACATCTCTTTTATTAAATTAACTTCATTGATTACTAGATTGGATCATTAGATTTGGGACATACAATTGGCAACGGTTTAGTGCGGAAGGTCGTTCAGAGAGTGAGACCCATTCGAGGCTTCAGGTTTCAGGTTGAGTAGATGTGGCCATTCTACATGGGATTATTTTGGGATGGGGAAGGATTCGTTCATTTTCAGGTTTGGAGAGCTCCGCTAGGATTGGGCTCAATTGCCTTAGGAAGGGTGTTGTATCTCTAGGTTCTGGTTGTGTTGCTTAGGATGTCAGTGCCTAGGATCGTAAGGAGTGATTTTGAGGAAGAAATATAATTTGAGTATAGGAGACTTTTAATGCCCTATCCCGAATCATTTCCGATTTGGGTGTAGGTGATGTAATTTAGATGATCCGAGTGTTTGTTTTGTGTTTTGGAGCCAATAGGTATTTTGGTAAAGTGCCAGCTTGGGATTGTATGGAAATTGGATTTTTTCGGGAAATCTTAAGGCGGGTATAGGTTGACAAAAGTGTAAATCATCTCGTTACCTCTTCATAGATATAAGGATAGTCGGAAATGGGCTTATAACAAAGGAGCTATGGTCTTCGGAAGGTTGTAGCGTTTAAGGCAAAACCCTAGTACGTGGGGCATACATAGGGAGTACGTCGTGCATACTGGTGCGAAGTTAAGTACGCGGGGCATACCTCGGTGTACGTTGGGTGTATGAAAGAGAAGGATCGCGACCTTGAGATGAGTACACTAAGCGTACTAGCAGTACGTGGGTAGTACTCAAGATTCATGCAAACCCTATTTAAGTTCATTCTCTCCTCACTAAACCTTAATACCTTCCGCCTTCATCCATTTTTAACCCTAGAATCAAACCCTAAGTGTAATTTGGTGATTTTGAGCTTTGTATGTGCTTGATGGGTGTTTTGTGAAGAAGAAGAAGAAGAAGAAGAAGAAGAAGAAGAAGAAGAAGAAGAAGAAGAAGAAGAAGAAGAGAAGAGTAAGAAGAAGAAGAAGAAGAAGAAGAAGAAGAAGAAGAAGAAGAAGAAGAAGAAGAAGAAGAAGAAGAAGAAGAAGAAGAAGAAGAAAAACATATTCATTGAGATGTGTGGCTTGAGCTTCTAGATCCAGGAGTATCTTTCCATTTGCAAGCTTCCTATGGTAAAAAGATTTAACTTTGATGATCTTTTTGGTTAGATCTGTTTTTATGGAGTTCTTTGGCATTTTTGAGTCCCTTGATGTAAAGGTGAGCTTTTGATTTACTCCAGAAGTAGTAAATGTTAGATCTAAGCTCTACTAAGGTCCCCTATTCATAAAAATGGAAACTTTATGGAAGATTTTGGTCCATGCATGTATTAAGCTCATATTAAGTCCGTTTTTAAGTGTTAAGTCCCATTAACACATGTTTGTGAGTAAAGTTGGAAAGTTTATTGATTAAGACATTGGCTAGTTGTAACACCGTGAAATCTCAAAACAATTTTTCATTTTAATTTAATAAAAATACTCCAATTAGAATTCTCAAAAACATGTATCAATTATTTTTACATAACATAAGTGCAAATCAAAATCCCCAAAATCTCAAAACATCTCCACCACAACTGTGTACTGATTAAGCCAACACCTTCCTACGATCATCACTGGTACCTGAAACACATAACATGCAAACAGTAAGCAATAATGCTTAGTGAGTTCCCAAAAATACCACATACATCACATACGCCTTTCCAGGCTATAGCTATATGGGATCTTCCGATCCAAGTGTCTCAGGGGATTTCCATCCCATAACTCTGTTGACGTTCCGGTCCATGCTCTATTGACCTTTCGATCAATATCATCATATTCATATCATAACATATTGCATATACAACATGCATCACATTTTTATCATACACATAAGACCTTTCGGTCACACATAATCACCCCATTGGGTAAGGCATACTGAGAAGACTCACCTTAATGAAGTCGAATAAACTCTCATGCTCAACGTCCCGATCTAGACTCCTCCTATTATTCAAATAACATTCCCGGTCAATACTCCCCCATGATCTCATCTATACAGACTGGGTAGAAGGCCATTTTACCCTTCCCTAAACTCTCCTATATCAGTCTTCACCAGAACCCAAAAGTCAACGAAAGTCAACGGTCAACTTTGACCTGACTCGTCGAGTGCACAAAGGTGACTCGGCGAGTCCATGCATGTCCTTTGAATCCTTTCAGACTCGCTTGGCTCATCGAGTATTTCATCCACTCGACAAGTTACACCTGTCACGAATCGAGGGGCAACCCCGACTCGACTCGTCGAGTCTGCTCATGGACTCGGCGAGTTTGTTCCATGCTCACACTCAAATGACCTTCTGAGGTCAGATATGTTCCTCTAATCCATAGATCTAATCTTCCCAAGCTCAATAATCACGTAAAGGTTCAAACTTGATGCTCATGCAACGCCCAAATGACACTACTTGATTATTTAGCCCAAAATGCAACATCCTAATCCATTTCTTCCATAACTCCCCATAAAGAAAGATGGAATATGTTCTCTAGACCACTATGGATCCAGATCTTATGTATTAACATGATAAGGGACCATATTCCCAACAAATCAACTCAATAAAAGGTATAGAAAACCCTAGATCCATCGATTCCTTAACAAAACAGAAAAAGGATCGATATGCTACCTCAAGAATGATGTCGTTTGCTTGCAATCCACAAATAAGCAACCTCTTTGGCCTCCTCTAATCTAGAATCAACTCCTTCTTGCAAAACAAACCCACAAAGGTCCAATAATGGCTTCTTTTCTCTCACAAACGCGAAGGCACTATATGGGTTTCTCTCAATGCTCTGGTAGCCACAAATGGTGGCTATAAGGGTCCTTAAATAGGCCCCAAACCTGAGAAATTAGGGTTTCATTAAACATTGTGGACTCGCCGAGTCCACGTATGGACTCGCCGAGTCCTCCATTAAATCGGACTAACACATGCGCGATCCCACTCGGCGAGTCTAAGCGCCTACTCGCCGAGTCCCTCTCTAATATTCAATATAAATACTTAAAATGAGATACCTGGGAATCCGGATGTTACAATTCTCCCCCACTAGAATCAGACTTCGCCCTCAAAGTCTCACTCTACAAACAATTCTGGATACTGCTCCCGCATCTCAAACTCCGGCTCCCAAGTCAGCTCGGACCCCTTCCGATGTTGCCACTGGACCTGAAACAGGGACACCTCCTTGTTCCTCAGAACCTTGATGCTCCTATCAACATAGTTCAGGCTCGCATAAACCTGAATGTCCTCCAATGGAACCACTGCTGACTCTTCGACAATACACTTCCTGAACTGAGACACGTGGAAGGTATCACGAATCTGACTCAGCTCAAAAGGTAGCTCCAAACGATAAGCTACACTGCCCACCGTAGTTGTAACCCTAAATGGACCGATATATCGAGCTCCCAACTTGCCTCTCTTCCTGAATCCAATCACACCTTTCCAAGGTGATACCTTCAAGAGAACAAAATCACCAACCTGAAACTCGAGCTCTGAGGTACGACTATCAGCATAACTCTTCTGGTGATTCTGGGCCGTCAGCAACCTCTGCCTGACCTATTGAATCTGCTCAGTTTTCTGGAGTACTATCTCCATACTACCCATCACCCGCTATCCTACCTCTCCCCAACAAATGGGAGTCCCAACTTCTTCCGAAGTTTAATACACATGGTGGCTATTGTTATAGGAAAACTCAGCCAAAGGCAGATACGTGTCCCAACTTCTTCAGAAGTCTAATACACATGCCCGAAGCATGTCCTCGAGTGTCTGGATAGTCCATTCACTCTGACCGTCGTTCTGAGGGTGATAAGCAATGCTGAAATGCAACCACGTACCCAACTCCTCATGAAACATCTTCCAGAACCTGGAAGTAAAACGTACATCTCGATCTGAAACAATCGAAATCATCACCCCATGTCGAGACACCACCTCCTTCACATATATTTATGCCAACTTCTCTGCGGAAGCACTCTCACTGATAGTAAGGAATAGATTTCTATTGATTTCGTCACCAAACTACCAAGATTTCTCTGTCCATTTGTTGTTTCCCGATTTCCGATTTATGACGACTGACTAGTTGAACAAATCAAATCAGTCCTGGCCCGGCCGAGCACTTCCATTTTTCATCATCAAATCATCGAGGGGCCCACAGATGTCGCTTTTATCCCGAAGGTAAAAGGAATGGATAAACTTCGACTCATATGGCTTGTTCTACTACTTGTTGAATCATACACAAAGAAACATTTTATAACATCGAGTTACCAATGCGTTTTCGTGCAATCAATGTACTATCAACTCATAGTAACAACTCATATCTCTAGGTTTGAAGAATATAAGATATTATCGTCTCATGATCACTCGTGATAAAATCCATGAAGTGATTCCAATGAGCGCGGGTTGAATCCAATACTCAGAACTTATGAGCACTCATGAGTGTTGTAGCCCTTTGTCCAACACCTTAGACCACTACAAGCCAACCCATGATAGTCTTAATTCATATCTACTTCCAACATATGACCGACTATAGATGCTTTGAATAACTTAGTCATTCCGGAAGAATAACCTAGTTTATTCGGGAAGTCAAAACATGCAAAGTGAAACACAATAATAATTGAATCCAATATGGTATCAAAACCTATGAACATAAATAAAACACCTTTTATTTATCACCATATGATTACACATTATTCATTGTATTCTGTTTCAGCTATCAACTTTATTCTTGAATTTAAAACAATAGTTGTCCCATGCTCCAAGCATGTACACTATGTTTTTCTAAACACTAGTCATGCCACACACCAAGTATGCGTACTATGTTTGTCTATGATCTTTACTTTGTGAACTAGATCAATTGAACATAACTTCAATGATTCTCTTTTCACACTCCCAAATCCTTACTGCAAATGCAAGAATTCCAAATTCATGCCATTTACTGAAATCTGTTAGATTCTAAACTTATATGCATTGATCCTCTTGTAACGATTATGCACAAATTCAGAAAGACTTGGCAAAAATCATTACAGAGTATTCCAAAGGAGATCAACTCCTTGGAAACATCCTTCTTGCATTAAGTTTCCTTAATCTTACACAGATTGAAATTTCTGACTTTGAAACATCTCCATATTCATTTTGACTATCACTTCTGAATAAGAGTTGCCTCCTTACAGATTATGTCAATATGGTCCTTCCAGAATTATCACTATACTTGCAACTGTCCTTGAGCAACCAATCTTTGGTAAACCTTAGATTGTCCTCGACAATTGTTTAATCCTTTTAGTCATATCCAGTTCTAAACCTTTTCCCTTCTTAATGCCCCAGGCATTTGAAAACTTTTAGAACGGATAACTATAGCACATGTAATCGATCCTATATCCGAAGTATATGGGACACGATTCATGATGTCTCACATAAAGACTAAACCAGTCTTTTGCTATAACATTTCCATTTCTATTTGCCAAGTTCTCATAATTCAGATTGTGAAAAGGGATGTCGTAATCATAATCGAATTTTAGAACGCAAATAATGGACCCATATATAGAATTTCCTTATGTTGAGCCATTCCAACATGAAATTCATATATATCCTTCACAAAATGATTAAAACCTCATGATCTAAGCTTATAGATTTAAGATGAAGTATAATTTCCTCTCCCTTAATTATAGCAAAACAACTTTTTCCCAATTGAAACCTTTTGTTTTCTATAATTAACATTGCTAACTTGCAATCTTTATTATGATTATCATGCTCCCACTAACATGATGATTATTAGCATAACACTTATGCTCCCACTAGCTTTGACATGTACTCAGAAATCAGCTGGACTTCTAGAAATCAATACTTTATTGACTCTCTTACCAAACTTCAGATTTCTGATACTAGATTGTTTTGATAGAACTTTATCAAAATGATACACCTTCCCTTAGATAGCACACTTGTGTGTCTAAACAATTATGAAGAGGGATGCCGTAATCATAATGGTTAGACCTTTTTTCCTCTTCTCACAAGTCCAGGTTAGTGTGCCGGTAAACCACACACGCTCCACTAACGACTTTGAGAATGCAAATATCACAATTTCTATCTAACTAA